TTTGATGTCACTCCACACGTTTTCTATTGGATTAAGATCCAGGAATTGGGCTGGCCACTCCATAACATCAATCTTGTTGGTCTGGAACCAAGATGTTCCACGTTTACTGGTGTGTTTGGGGTCGTTGTCTTGTTGGAACACCCATTTCAAGGGCATTTCCTCTTCAGCATAAGGCAGCATGACCTCTTCAAGTATTCTGATGTATTCAAGCTGATCCATGATCCCTGGTATGCGATAAATAGGCCCAACACCGTAGTATGAGAAACATCCCCATATCATGATGCTTGCGCAACCATGCTTCACTGTCTTCACATTGTACTGTGGCTTGAATTCAGTGTTTGGGGGTTGTCTGACAAACTGTCTCCGGCCACTAGACCCAAAAAGAACAATCTTACTTTCATCAGTCCACAAAATGTTGCACCATTTCTCTTTAGGCCAGTCAATGTGCTCTTTGGCAAAATGTAACCTCTTCAGCACGTCTTTTTTTCAACAGTGGGACTTTGCGGGGGCTTCTTGCAGATAGCTTGGCTTCACATAGGCGTCTTCTAATTGTAACAGTACTCACAGGTAACTTTAGACCTTCTTTGATCTTCCTGGAGCTGATTGTTGGCTGAGTCCTTGCCATTTTGGCTATTCTTTTATCCATTCAAATGGTAGTTTTTCACTTTCTTCCACGTCTTTCAGATTTTGGTTGCCATTTTAAAGCATTTGCGATCATTTTAGCTGTGCAGCCTATCATTTTCTGCACTTCTTTATATGTTTTCCCCTTTCCAATCAACTTTTTAATCAAGGTACGCTGTTCTTCTGAACAATGTCTGGAACGACCCATTTTCCCCAGAATTTCAGAGAGAAATGCACTGTAACCAGCATATACAACATTTGCTGCCTTCCTTCCTTAAATAAGGGCAATAATTGCCACCTGTTTTTCAAAGAATGAATGACCTCACTAAGAGAACTCCACACTGCTATTATTTTGAACATGCCCCTTTCAATTAGTGATTCAATTACACAGAATCAGCCGCATGCATGTCATGATGACTGTTGGGTCTGTTGGATTTCTATTACTCTACTACACCTGCTAGTAAATTATTTGCCATGTAGAAATATCATTTCTACCAAAAATAGTGATTGATCAGGTTAGTGATGTCTGACTGCTATTATTTTGAACACAACTACATATATATATATATATATATATATATATATATATATATATATATATATAGTGCTGGAAGACTCTACAGAAAGTATGAATGATTTGATGTATCTTTATAAATGGCAACACAAGCCCTCCATATGCTGTAATGAAAATCTATATGGTACTTCCCAAAAGGCAACTGTTATCCTCTCATCAGAGGTCACTGTAGGCATTGGAATATATTTTGTACTTTATATATGTAGTTTAACATCACGGAGATGCCAGTTGAATACACATAGTAATAAGTAATGAGAGCAATACTTAGCAATCCATTCCAGGTACAATATGTTGCAGTCACATATAATGCCTTTTTCTTCCAATATGCCATGGTTTTTACCATGTCTGGTCTGATCCATAAACAAAAACCCTAAGGAGGCTCGTGGGAGTGCTGAGGGTATAATAGATTGGAGTGGAAACCTAAACGGTTTCACCGGTCACACCAGCTGCATCAGGAGGTACATACAATGGTGGAGCAGAAGAAAGCCTGGCATTTTTGAGCCCTGAGCTGTAGTAAAGAGACTAGTTGTCCACGAAATGGGACATAGGTGCTGAAAAATCTGCCTCAAGGCAGCCATACAAAGAATGAAATTCAGCGGGCTCAGTAGTGACCGGACGAATTTCAATTCATGTATGGGCACCTTTTCATTGTACAGAAGTCAAACTACCAATTGACTTCTGTACAACCAATCTGCCGAGTTTTTCCAAACCATTCAGTGCTACCAGCTATAACCAGCAGCACTGATCATTGTATTCTGAGGATGGGGAAGGCTACCTGTCAACAGAGTACAATAGCACAGCAGGAGTGATTCCTCCATCCACATTGATTGTGTGAATAGGGGAATTGGGTAATTTTTTTTCTCAATCAACCCACTTATTGGGAAAGAAAAAACAAAAGATCAGCTGCCTTAGTCAGATAGGCAGATTATGTGCCCTATGTAACCCAAGCTGTTTGAATATCCTGCACTGTACTATCAAGATAGTAGGGTTTCAAAAATGGAGGATTTCTAAATTACGGTCAATGAATTTGCTCAGCATAATTATCAGAATCTACAAGCTGCTTATAACAGATGAAACTCAAAAAATTAGAATATCGTGCAAAAGTTCATTTATTTCAGTAATGCAACTTAAAAGGTGAAACTAATATATGATACAGCACTTTGGGAACATCAAACTTCTTTTGCAATTACCTTTTGACGCTTTCCCACTTTATGGAGGGTGTCACTGATGGTTTTCTGCACAACTTTCAGGTCAGCAGTCTTTTCCATGATTGTGATTCCTACTGAACCAGACTGAGAGACCATTTAAAGGCTCAGGAACCCTTTGCAGGTGTTATGGCTTAATTAGCCGATTAGAGTGGGACACTTTGAGCCTAGAATAGAGCCTAGAACCTTTCACAATATTCTAATTTTCTGAGATTGTGGATTTGAGGTTTTCATGAGCTGCAAGCCATAATCTTTACAATTATGACAAATCATGGCTTGAACTATCTTGCTTTGCATGTAATGAGTCTATCTCATATTAGTTTCACCTTCTAAGTTGCATTACTGAAATAAATGAACTTTTGCACGATATTCTAATTTTTCAAGTTTCACCTGTAAGTGCTGGCAAACTCTTCTACCCTCTTTTAAATTTAATCTACCCTGTCCACAATTTCTCGCATCAAATTTAACAAGTTTATATGTCTTCGTGGAAAATACCCCTCACGTATGCAAACACTTTTATTAGAATGTGTTCAGAGACAGTTCAGAAGTAGGAAATTTAGTAATAAAATTAGATTGGAGATACAGATGTTCAGTGTGCTCTGTCCTACTGTAGTCATATAGAATAGGCGAAGGAGAAACTGCAGGCAGCTGGGTCTAGACACCCTTTATGTTTAGTGTCTGAATAATCTAACGTCAGGGCATCACTTGCTAGTAGAACATATGATGAGAGGACTTTCTTCCTCAATTTAACTTCTCCCACTGCACCCCCTTCCTCTGCCATGGAAGCATTTGAAAATGAAGGACCAAAAGATGGGTGTTAAATGCTTTTCAGAAGTTTAAACAAGCCCTAAACGAGTTATTGAAGATTTTACCTACATTGTTGTTTAACCATTTGCTGCCCGCCCTATGTCCGAATGGCAGCCGGCAAATGTCATCAGCGTTCCGGGTGGACGCCATATGGCGTCCTCCCGCACATGCGCAGATTGCGCTCCTGCAGAGCCGAGACACGGCCGATGACAGATCTGAGTATTGGCCCCCGTTTCCGGTACCATGTGACCTGCTGTGACCAATCACAGCAGGTCACATGACAGTTGTATACAATGGATGGCTTCATTCATGCCATCCATTGTATACTAGTGTCTAGCTGTGAATGGTCACAGCTAATCACATGCACATGTCATGTGATTAGCTGTGGCCAAATCACAGCTAAGCACAAAAAAAAAAAAAACCTGAATGAATCGATGTCATTCAGGTAAATGCTTGCTTATAGCAAAGTAATTCTTTGCTATGAGCAAATTGTGTAAAAAAAAAAAAATACTGATCACTTCCCCAAAGTAGTACAATGTTACTATGGTAACATTGTACTACTTTGGTCATAGTGAAATATGAAAAAAAAATCTTAAAAAAAGAAAAACAATGTAATAAAAAAAAAAAAATATATATATATATATTTTTTTTTCATACTGTCACCAGTCAGTGTCCCTGATCACCGCCATGCCAGTTATATGATGACGCTGTACTGCACTGGTGACAATATGTAAAAAAAAAATAGTGAAACTAATTTTTTTAATTTTTTCATTTTTCGAAAAATTATGACAAAAAAAATACAACTTCAAAAAACACGTCATGCCTCTTATGAAGTACGTTGGACTGTCTACTCTGAAAAAGGGGTCATTTGGGGGATATCTGTACTGTTCTGACATTCTTGGACCTCAAGAAATTAGATTGGCTGTCAGTACTTCAGGATTGATCAATATTCAGATCTATACCATAGTTTATGAACTCTATAACTTTCCTACAAACTAAAAAATACATCCTAATTTGGGTTATTTTCACCAAAGACATGTAGCAGAATGCATCTTGGCCTAAATTTATGAAGAACAATTATTTATTTGCAAACTTTTATAACAGAAACAAAGAAAAACGTGTTTTTTTTTTCAAAATGTTTGGTATTTTTTTGTTAATTTAGCAAAAAATAAAAACCACAGCGGTGATTAAATACCACCAAAAGAAAGCTCTAGTTGTGTGAAGAAAATGATAAAATATTAGTTTGGGTACAATGTTGTATGACCGTGCAATTGTCATTCAAAGTGTGAGAGCGCTGAAGCCTGAAAACTGGCCTGGGCAGGAAGGTGTAAAATTGCCTGGTATTGAATTGGTTAAACAAATTTCATTGGTCTGGCAAGGCAAACAGTCTGATTGATACTAATGTAGTCTATGGGATGATACATAAAACTACAAACCTTTTTCATAGAAAAACTGAAAAAAGGCATTTAATTAAAAAAAATAATAAATAGAAACCGAACAGGCTTATTCCATAGGAGTTTATTTATATTTCTTTTTATCTAGGCAAATGCCACAGACTTAAGTATTTTTCCAGTGTCTGAAATTGAAGATCCATGGGACGGAGCGATCACAGTTTAAAAATAAAAATACATTAGGTGGTTTCCCTGATCCTTTTTCAAATGTAAAAGTATGATATGTCACCTTTGCAAGTGCTAGAAGCACTTTCAAGGCAATGCAGAGACTTTCCACTCCTTGGAACTCTGGTCCACTGTTCAAAATGTTTCCCTTTATAGTCTAAATGGTATTCAATACTGTCAAGTCTTTTTTTGTTTGCTTTCGTTGTTGCCGTAAGTGGATCCTCTGTCTATTTCAGTGACTCCAATCATTCGCCGCACTCCGACAGAGACTAAGATAAAAGGAGAAAAAACTCAATTACAATGTAATTTCAAATGTCAACTATTATCAAATTTTAAAAGGTTCTTGTTATAAGTTTATTCTTTGATTAGATAGCCCCTTGTTACCTTATTGCTTATTTTGAAAAAAAAAAGGGGGCATTCTGAGTAAAGCAAGATTGGGCTGAATCCCAGCTGGGTCTTTCCTGTTGTCTGGCCAGGCCTCTGACCCAACAGCCTTGACAGCTGTAGCTGTGAATGGCAGGAGGTTGAATGTTGTGAATACTAGGGCCAGTGAGGGAGCAATATCATAGAGGTAGTGGAAGGTTCCCCCACGTGACCTTGCCGCTGGTGATCAACAGACTGTAGGACATCAGCCTTAAGCAGTCCATGGATAACCAGAAGGTTGAAAAAAAAAAAAAGACTAGATTCCCCCATCTACACACTTGATGTGGATGGGGGAATTACTCCTGCTCAGTTATTGTATTCTGACAGTGGGAAGACTTGTATCACTGGTGGTGTTGAACATGCGGAAATATTCCAACAGGCTGGTTGTACAGACGTTGATTGGTAGATCAACTTCTGTACAACCAGCCTGCCCATAGATGGATCGAAGTTCGATCCATGTATGGCCAGCTTTGGTCTTGCTGCCTATTGCTCACACTGCTCAGAGTTGTCAGAATGAATAAAAGGGAAATCTTGGGGCACATTACTTGTCTAAAGGAACACAGGTAACAAGTAAGTGAATGGCAGAGGAAGCAGTATAACGTCACATTCATTTGCCATATATCCTAATCCTTAGACTAATTTTTAAATGGTTTGTTTCTGTTAAAAATAAATAAATCAGGAATTATTAGTGCAGAGAAATACTGGCAGGGTTTACAGCTCATAAATAAACTAAATGTATTGAAAAGCAATTGATAATTCTTGTCTGATGCTATAAACTTCAACATGCTGATCTCCCCTTCACACTCACCCTGGCCCTTCACAGGCTCCTCCATCACAGCACCCACGCGTGGGGTGGGGGTGGTGCTGTGATGGAAGAGGATCAGGTAGACGTAAAAGAGGGTAAGTATGAGGGGCAGGGTGGAGATTTGGGGGATACATTGTTGATGACAGTTAAGCAGATGGCTTGTTGGTGACAGAGGCCAGAGAATAGCCAGAGTAGTTCAAGCTCACAGAAAGGTTACAATAAGGGCCCTTTCACACCCAATGCAGTAGGATGCAGTTGGCTGTATTTTGGACTGCTCTCCAACTGCATAGACAGTCACAATCAATGTAATCCTATAGGCATAGTTCATATCATTGCAGTGCAGTTAAAAAAGTAGAGCATGCTGCATTTTTCTGCACTGCAAATGCAGGTGAACACACTGCAAATGCGCTTCAAATGCACTGCACTTCACAACACTGTTCCCCTTTAATAAAATAATATATATTTTACTGAATATTATAACCTTTCTCTCCCTCTATGACCTGTACCTCCCCATTCCACTTCCTGGATCTGTGCATGTAGTGTGTGTGGAGAGCAAGTGTACAGCCATAATTGCATACAGGTCACCCATAGATGCAGAGGACTTCATCACAATGGTCCCAGAGTACCCTCTGCACTATGACCCCAGACATGAGCATTATAAGGACAACAGAAGAAAAAAGCAGATCTGGGAGAGCATTACAGCAAGAATTTACCCAGATTATGAAGAAATGGACATAGACAGAAAGGAGAACACTGCTAAGTTGATTACTGCATGTGTTTAGCCAGATCAGTCATAAAGTCTTCCAGAACACAGTGCAGTGATCGCATGGACCCCTCTTCTGCCTGTACCAATGATAGGACATGCTTCTCTCTACAAACTACAAAGAAATAGGGGCCTCATAAGAAATAGAAGAAAGCCAAGCCCAAAATGCATAGAAAAATGCACTGCAACTGCATGATAAATGCAGTGAAAAACACATGCAAACACACATCAAGAGCGCGCAAACGCAATTCAAATGCGTGTAAACATGCAATAAAAAATGCACAGTATAGTGCAGTTTCTGGTGTGAATGGGCCCTAGCTCTGATAAACACTCAGAACTATGGTGAGCAAAAAAGCATCTCAGAACGCACATGCCAAACCTTGAGGTGGATGGGCTACAACAGCAGACCAAGCCAGGTTCCACTCTTATCAGCCAAAAACAGAATTCTGATGATGTGATGGGCAGGCTCACCAAAATTGGAGCTTTGAAGACTGAAATAAATGTAGGCTAGGTCTCATAAATCTTAAATTCTTCTGGAGCACACAGATGGTATGGCAGTAACTGTATGTGAACTCAATAGAACACCTTTGGTATGTGGTAGAATGTGAAAGGTGTGTAGGATGTGGTAGCAGATTGAGCTACACAAATTAGGCGATGGAATCATGATCCAGAGCCTCAAATAATGTTTGTGAAATCTAAGCTGTGAAGAAATAAAGGACTTACTGTAGGTCATGTAAGTGCAACTATAAGGGAGTAAGATAAAACATGCGTACAAGTAAAAAAAATCTATAGTTTTTAAGTAAGACAGGCTACTACCACACTTAAGGACAGAAAAGGCTCCATGTAACAAAATTAAACTTATTTCTTGCACTGTGATTGGCTGTAAGCCGATGTTAAATGTCCCCTTATGGCTTTGCTGCTATTCTTCAACTGTACATGGAATTAGATATTGCATCTGCCAGAAAACCTTTAAGGCTAAATAAAGTGCAACATTGCTGCTACACCTAATTCAGCCGCTCTAGCCACCTCCACCATAACAGGACACACCAGAAGAGAAAAATATAAAAGTTACATTATAGCTTGTAGCCCCAAATCTCCCTGTGAAGGAAAGACTGGGATCTGTGAAGGAGGCAGATTGAACATGACCTTTGTGAAACATGTCAAAGGACATCATCTATAACCATAGCAGCTTACAGAGCTGTCACAGGATTGGACCTCTCTTACTCATGTTGCTAGAAGAAACTTAGAGAAAAGGAATAAACGGCTTGCTAAAAAACTACCCTACCTCTGACCTGCAGTCCATCCCTAGCATTGAAATGCGACGTATGTGGACTTTTTTACTTTGCAAATTTGTATGTAGCACAGCATCTGCATTGTTAAAGGTGGGATCCCAGAGAAACATTTGGAAATAGATGATAAAAGTTAAAGTATCACTAAACCCACAAGAATAAAATCTGTCTGTATATGCAGTAATGCATTGTCATACTCACTCTGGCACCTACGGAGTTATCCTCAGCATTATGTGAAAAGCCTGGTTGATCCTGCCAGACTCTGATCCTCCCTTCTTTCACTGTACCCAATTCAACTGCTGATTCTAAAAAGCAGTGTTGGCGAGCAATGGGCATAATTATTATTTCAGGTACTTATATAGCGCCATCAATTTATGCGGCGCTTTACATACTGTATATATTGTACATTCACATCAGTCCCTAACCCTCAAGTGGCGTACAATCTAAAGTCCCTAACTCACATTCATACACATAAGGCCAATTTAGACAGCATCCAATTTACCTACTAGCATGTTTTTGGAGTGTAGGAGGAAACCAGAGTACCCAGAGGAAACCCATGCAGGCACAAGGAGAACATGCAAACTCCAGGCAGGTGGTGCCATGGTTGGGATTAGAATCAACGACCCTAGTACTGCCAGGTGGAAGTGCTAACCATTTAGCCACTGTGCTAACATTTCCTCGGTGATTGGAGGTGCAGGTCACATGATCGTGACATCATACATGTGGGCATATATGCAGATAACGAATAGCCACCCACATCCTCCTTCCTCTCCCATGCTTACTAACTAGCAAAATACCTAGTGGGTGGAATAGTGAAAGAGATTATCATGGCTGTGTAGCTCCGCCCACACCATGGTGTTGCTAATTAATAACAAAGCTTAGATTTCAAATATGTACTTGTATGGGCATTTATACAAGGATGTTTTGAATATTAAATCTATATTTTCTACTGTATCATTAAAGACTTTGTTTTCTTGGGGGCTGTTACGTGACCAGGACAGCACCAATCAGCACTGTCTGGACACAAGGGTCATAGTTCATGCTTCCTCTTCTGAAGTACATAGATACGTCAGAGGGGCATGGAAGCTTCTCCTATGAGCTCTCCCAGCACTTGGCTCAGGATTAGATATGAATCACGTGACCACTGTATACAGCTATGGCATACAGGTACTTAGCAGTTTAATTTTTAAAAATTAATTACACAAACATGAATAACATACTTTGGCAAACCATAGAAAAGTTTTTGGGGTATGTGTTCAGTGTCACTTTAAGTCATGCTACTTTTCCTGGGGTTCAAGCAGATTTAATTTCATTTAGGGACCCCAAACTGTTGCAAAGATGCAGCATGCAGGACTTTTGGTGTGCTTTCAGAAAATGCACCAAAAACGTGGGAAATTATAGAAGTCTATGGGAAACTACAGGTGAACCGCGTGAAAAAAAACAGGTGCACTGGGCTGCACCCCTGCTAAGGCAATCTGTGAAGTGTGAAAACTCCCTTAGAGCTGATTCACACGTGCGGTGCAGATTGAAGCTCAGGTTTTACAGCTAATTGATACAGTAGTTGTTCACCGCTTCATGTCAGGTTTACATCAGGTTCAAGACTGGATTAGGTCAGGATTTTATCCTGTTCACACATGCGGTTTAGAAACGGATTCCATAAAAGTCAATAGCCTGCAATCTGCACCTGAACCGGACTGCACTGCTCAGAAATCGTACTTTTTTTCAAACCGCACTGATTCCACACCGCCAGTGTATAGAACATACACTATATTGCCAAAAGTATTGGGACACACATCCAAATAATTGGATTCAGGTGTTCTAATCACCTCCATGGCCACAGGTGTATACAACGAAGCACCTAAGCATGCAGACTGCTTCTACAAACATTGGTGAAGGAATGGGTCGCACTCATGAGCTCAGTGAATTTAAGCGTGGTACTGTTATAGGTTGCCACCTGTGCAATAAGTCCATCCGTGACATTTCCTTGCTACTAAATATTCCACGGTCAACTGTTAGTGGTATTATAACAAAGTGGAAGCAACTGAGAACAACAGCAACTCTGCTGCGAAGTGGAAGGCCACGTAAAATGACAAAGCGGGGTCGGCGCATGCTGAAACGCAAAGTGCACAAAAGTCGCCAACTGTCTGCAGAGTCAGTAGATAAAAACCTCCAAACTTCATGTGGCCTTCAGATTAGCACAACAGTGCGCAGAGAACTTCATGGAATGAGTTTCCATGATGGAGCAGCTGCATCCAAGCCTTATATCACCAAGTGCAATGCAAAGTGTCGGATGCAGTGGTGTAAAGCATGCCACCACTGGACTCTAGAGCAATGGAGATGTGTTCTCTGGAGTGATTAATCACGATTCTCTGTCTGGCAATCCGATGGATGTGTTTGGGTTTGGTGGTTGCCAGGAGAACAGTACTTGCCTGAATGCATTGCGCCAAGTGTAAAGTTTGGTGGAGAGGGGATTATGGTTTGCAGTTGTTTTTCTGTTTTTCAGGGGTTGGGCTTGGCCCCTTAGTTCCACTGAAGGGAACTCTTAAGGCGCCAGCATACCAAGACATTTTGGACAATTTCATGGTCCCAAGTTTGTGGGAACAGTTTGGGGATGGCCCCTTCCTGTTCCAACATGAATGCGCACCAGTGCACAAAGCAAGGTCCATAAAGACATGGATGAGCGAGTTTGGGGTGGAGGAACTTGACTGGCCTGCACAGAGTCCTGATCTCAACCCAAAAGAACACCTTTGGGATGAATTAGAGTGGAGACTGCAAGCCAGGCCTTTTTGTCTGACATCAGTGCCTGACCTCACAAATGCACTTCTGAAAGAATGGTCAAACATTCCCATAGACACACTCCTAAACTTTGTGGACAGCCTTCTCAGAAGAGTTGAAGCTGTTATAGCTAACTTAATACTGAACCCTAAGACTGGGGTGCCATTAAAGTTCATGTGCGAGTGAAGGCAGGTGGCCCAATACTTTTGGCAATATAGTGTATGTGAACAGGCACCATAGGAAGCAATGTTATTTCACGTCATGCGGTTCAAGCCGGATCCAATCTGCATATATGTGAACTGGCACGTACAGATTAAGCAAACTACTAAGTGCTGTCACAAATACCAATCTTTTGTAGAACTTCCACAATGACTTCCCCTTACTACCTCAAAATAGCAGACAGCTGTATTTGCAAATCCGCTAATATGTATCTGTTCTAGTGAAAGGAATTGTGTCTGGGGAAACATAGGTTGCAAATAAATGTTATCTAATTTTTTGGTGCTTTCCTCTAGGGCACAGTATTTTATATTAGCCTTGGTGTAAAAAAACATGCATGCCTGTTGTGCTGGGCTAGTATCTTTTGACATATACATCTACTTTAAAAAATGTGATAGTGGCAGATGCAAGTCCAGTGGATCTCGTCATGGCAGCAGGTTTCTAATACATATGCATTAAAGTGGTTCTAAAGCCAAAAGTTTTTTACCTGCATTAAGGTAAAAAAAAACCAAAACCTTCCACTAGCTGATCCTCCCACCCCGCCTCCCTGTATCTATCAAGTGCCAGCAGCAGTCCTGGTCTCTCTCCCTGCTCTCACAAGCACAGAGGCAGGAGCCATTGGCTTCTGCTGCTGTCAATCAAATCCTGTGAGGAGGGAGCAGGAGGTGGGGCCTGAGCAGCACTGCATGTGTTTATGGATACACACAGCCCAGCTCAGGAACCCGTGGCACATACACCTCCATAGCAAATGGCTTGCTATGGAGGCACACAGAGAAGAGCAGCAGGGGAGAGAGACAGAGAGGGACTCCAGATAAGAGGATGCTCTGTGCAACATCCTTGCACAGGGTAGGTAAAGTATAACATGTTTTTTTTAACATGTTTTTTAATTTTAGCACAAACAAAACAAAACAAAAAAACCCACAAGAATTTAGTATCACTTTAAGAAAATTATCCTACACGCTTCACTGGGGTGAGAAGCAATGAGCAGCTGTGTTTACTGAGCATTGCAGGATAATATCGTGGTGCTACATTAAGGGGTTTATTTATAAATGTTTTCACACAAGATTATGCAACTTTCACACAGGAAATTGAATCCAGTTAGAAAAATAAGATTAAAAAATAATGTCAGGTCTTTAGCCTTACCTATTACCATAAGTAGCGCAAACATAGCCAGCGTGAAGTATGATCCGCTGTTGATCATATTAGCAAGCACTTTGCATAGGGGGTAGGACAGCAGAGATGCCCAGAACAACCAGTTCACAAGAGTCCATGGTCTACGTGCAGGCACAATAGCAGTTCCCGGATATATTCCTGTCTTGTAGTATTCTTCTTGAAAGGCGTCCTAAGAAATCAAAACATCAAATCTCTTTACGGTCAGATCACAGATAATTCATTATTCTTACCGTTGTTAGATATAAAGAGTAAACGTTAGCATAATCAACTGTTTTTGTTTTTTTAATACGTCTGTTACATCGAATTCTACATATTGACAAGTAAACAATCTGTATATTTCATATATATAACATTCCTCTCGTCTCAAGCAATGAGGTGATAGTGATGCAACTTTGGTCATACAAGGGACATACTTTTTCCTGGTACAGCTTGTGAAGCCAACTGGCACATTCCTGTTCATCTTCAGGGATTTCATCTAAGGGAATTCGTCTGGAGGATTACAAAATGGAAATACAACATTTAACAAGAACAATAATAAATCTGAAATACTTCAAATACAAAAAATGCTAGGTGAACTTTATTTTTAGGTTATACTAGCAAATTTTTATTTAAAATTACTAAACAGAATACCCACTTTAGAAACAAATTATATCACAAGATATAATTGGGGCTCAGAGGGTAGAATCCACCAAGCTACAGCTGTTTGCAGTTTGTTTGGTTCCCACTGATGTGCAAATAGTATAAGGAACATATACCAATAGAGGCAGTGTAAATGATTCTCCACAAGAAACAGGGAGCTAAATGGTCATCTTGCTAGGTAGGGACCTTTAGGCAGCACTAAACCATCAATATTAACTATTTTTAATCCTTAAGCATTAATAAATTGGTAGGAAGGTATATCACATTTACTTGTTTTAAACTTTTTTTTTGTTCAGTCTCTATTGATTGCCATTTTTATAGAGGAAATTAATACAAAAGGGTACAAACAATTTAGATGTATATAAACAAATAGAAGGGTAATAAGAGAATAGGTCAAGATAACATTTCACTTTAACAGAAATATAAAACATACACTTTTTGTACAAGTACATGAGAGGTAGTTACAGAAAAGAGCTCAGAGCACCCATATTGGGAACAAGTATAGGATCATGAGTAAATGTATGACCAGAAGAAGAAGAAAAAAAAACAATAATGATGGGAGCACATCTCAGACTATAAAGGAGTCTATAGGTGTAGTGGGATACACACCATAGCAAATGAACAGATAAAGGAGATAGGGACAGAGATGCGGATCAGAAAAGAGGCAAAAAGGGGAGAAGGTAAAAGATATCCTCCACCAGAGCTACACAGAGGAGGGATAAGTGTCACTATCAACCCAAGAAAGGAACTCAGAAGAGTAGCGAAACATGGACCATGAGGTCCAGGTAAGTGAGAACTGGTCCTCTTTTCCTGCGTCAAAAGGAATTCCAAGTCTTGTATAGACTCCAACTCATTGGCATATTCCCCAAAGGATGGCACATTGGTTGAATTCCAGTGGCGCAGGATGATCTCCCTAGCCGGGGCCACAAAGTGTCTCAAAACATCTTTCTTCCTGGATTTAAAGAGTCCAGGCATCATGGAGAGAAGGGCTATCTCAGGAGAGGAATTAACAGATGTTTCCATAAGATTACTGTACAAATCGAAAATATGTTTCCAGAATTTCTTGATGGGAAGATAGGCCCCAAATGTGTAGTATATTGCCCAGGGAGTTTTGGCAATGCCAACAGAATTCTAGAATGGAGGAGTTAAAGCGGTGAAGGACCGTGGAGCTGTCAGGGCAGGGCTGTAGCACGGACAGGTAGACCTAGTGGCAGGGTAATGCACTGACTGATGACAACCACCACCAACAGACCGAAGTCCCTCAGGGCACGGAGTCTAAGTCCCAGGCTGCCCTTCACCAGGGCCCCTGATGGTGGGGATGGACTTGACGCAGCCAGGAACCAGGTCGCGGCCCCCGAGACAACCCGGCTGCGGTAATGGCCGCCGCCAATGGCGTGAAACTGGTAAGAATGACAATAGCGTAGTCAGGCAGGCCGGGTCGACAACAACGGGACAAAACAGTACAGAACAGTAGACAGAAAATCACAGGTCACGGGCCGGGTTCAGCAACAGAAGGTCAGATCGAAGGAAACCACAGAGAATGGTCTAGTCACAAGCGGAAGGAACCCAGGAACGCTCCTCAGGACCATAACCGCGCCAATGAACCAGGAACTGTAATTGACCGCGCACCAATCGAGAGTCCAGGATCCGGCTCACCTCATACTCCTCATGACCGTCAACCCGGATGGGACGGGGCCGAGGCAGAGAGGTAGTGAAGCGATTGCAGATCAGAGGTTTCAACAGTGATACATGAAAGATATTGGAGATCCGCATCCCAGGCAGAAGGGCAAGGGCATAGGCCACCGGATTCACCTTGCGGAGAATGCGAAAAGGACCGACAAAACGGGGAGCTAGTTTGGGTGTGGGCACCCGAAGATTGAGGTTACGAGTAGACAACCACACCCGATCGCCGACCTGGTATGAAGGAGCGGGCAACCGTCTGCGATCAGCCTGGAACTTCTGACGCTGAGCCCCTCAAGGCCCTCTGGATCTGCCCCCATGAAGAACGCAGGGCAGCAAGATGGTTCTCCACAGCCGGAATGTCCTGTGGTGAGAACCTCTCAGGTAATACCGCGGGTTGGTACCCATAGTTGGCCATGAAGGGAGACATCCCGGAGGAGGAGTTGACCGCCGAGTTCCTGGCAAACTCTGCCCAAGGCAGGAGATCGGCCCAATCGTCCTGATGGTCCGAGATATAATACTGAAGGAATTGTTCTAAGGCCTGATTGGAACGCTCCGCAGCCCCATTGGACTGCGGGTGGTAGGCTGAAGAAAAGGAGAGACTAATACCCAACTGGGAGCAGAAGGTGCACCAGAATCTGGACACAAACTGACTCCCGCGGTCCGAGACAATCACCTTGGGCAACCCATGCAGGCGAAAAATCTCCCTGGAAAAGACCCGTGGCCAGTTCTTGCGCTGTTGGTAATTTCCTGAGTGGAATACAATGGCACATTTTGGAAAAAACGATCGACTACCATGAGAATGACCATATGACCCCGAGGCACAGGGAGGTCTACAATAAAGTCCATGCCCAGGTGTGACCAAGGACGCTCCCCATTGGGAATGGGTTGCAGAAGACCCATTGGAAGATGCCGTGGAGATTTATTCTGGGCACAGATCGAACATGCCGCTACATAAGAGGTGATGTCGGCACGGAGAGTTGGCCACCAGAACAACCGAGAGACGACCCAAGACAACTGGTTCCTCCCCGGATGCCCAGCAGTTTTGGAGTTATGGTAGGTACACAGCAGACGGGTGCGCAACCCCTCGGGTACAAAACATCTACCCTCCGGTCTCTCGGGAGGAGCGTCAGTTTGAGCCGCCAAAATCTGCTCCCCAAGGGGAGAAGTCAGACTGGTGCGAATGGCAGCCAGGATCTGATCCGGAGGTATGACTGAGGTTGGCTCAGAGTCCTCCCTGGACAACTCAGAGTATTGCCGCGATAATGCATCAGCCCTGACATTCTTGGAACCAGGCAAATAGGAGACCACATAGTTGAACCGCGACAAGAACAAGGCCCATCTGGCCTGACGGGGTGTCAATCTTTTGGCCTCCGAAAGATAAGTCAGGTTCTTATGATCGGTAAGAATGAGGACCGGACCGCGAGCAGGTGCCTCCATTCCTTGAGAGCCAGAATGATTGCCAACAACTCCCTATCTCCAATCTGGTAGTTGCACTCTGCAGAGGAAAGTTTCCTGGAGTAGAACCCACAGGGAAGTAGGGGTCCATCGGGCGACCGACGTTGAGACAGGAGAGCGCCTACTCCCGTCTCGGATGCATCAACCTCAAGGACGAAGAGCAATCCAGGATTGGGATGAGACAGTATCGGAGCCGAAGCGAAGGCGGATTTCAGAGCCTCGAAAGCTACGATGGCCTCGGATGGCCACTCGTGAGGATTACTGCCCTTCTTGGTTAGGTCTGAGAGAGGCTTTGCCAGCGTGGAGAAGTTCCTGATGAACTTCCGATAGTAGTTGGTGAAACCCAAAAAGTGCTGAATGGGCCGAAGACCATTGGGACGAGGCCACTGCAGAACCGCCACATCCTTCTGAGGGTCCATGGAGAATCCCTCCGCAGAAATGATGTAGCCCAAAAAGGCAACTTGGGATCGATGGAATTCGCACTTCTCAGTTTACAAAAAAGTTCGTTCTCACGTAATCATTGCAGCACCTGCTTGACATCCTGGATATGGGACTCCATGGAGGCAGAGTAAACCAGGATGTCATCCAAGTAAACTTCCACGCACTGCTGCAACAAGTCACGAAGGACATAATTTATGAATTCCTGAAAAACTGCGGGCGCGTTACACAACCCAAAGGGCATCACCAGGTATTCGTAGTGACCGGTTCTGGTGTTAAACGCGGTCTTTCACTTATCCCCCTGTTTGATCCGTACGAGGTTGTACGCCACCCTAAGGTCAAGTTTGGTAAAGACTGTTGCCCCCTTAAGGCGGTCGAACAACTCAGTAATCAAGGGAATCGGGTAGGCATTCTTAGTGGTGATTCGATTGAGACCCCTATAATCGATGCAAGGCCTCAATTCACCACCCTTCTTCTTTACAAAGAAAAAGCCCGCTCCTGCTGGGAAAGTAGACTTACGAATGTGCCCCCGGGAAAGCGCATCCGCAACATACTCCTCCATGGCCTTTATTCTCCGCAACCGAGAGAGGATACACCCTGCCACGCGGAGGAGTGGCACCGGGTTGCAAGGATATGGCGCAGTCGTAAGGACGATGAGCAGGTAAGGCACCAGCGCGTACCTTATCAAACACGTCCTGGTACTCTCCATAATCAGTGGGCAACGCAGAGTCCGAGGAGGCACACAACACCTTAACCGGCCCACGGATGCACCCGGCCCCACCCTGTGGGAGACCACGAGAGAATCTCGGCCGTTCGCCAATTAAAGGTTGAATTGTGCATCTGGAGCCAAGGATACCCCAAAACCACTGAATAGTGCGGAGAAGAAATCACCTGGAAACAGGCCAACTCCCTGTGAACAGCCCCAATAGCTACTTCAACTGGCATGGTCTCATGGGTAACCTGCGGTGGTTGCAGGGGCCTGCCATCTATTGCCTCGAGAACCAATGGGGTAACTCGAGCCTGCAGGGGAATGGAGTGCTGTGCAGCAAACGAGCTGTCCATAAACAACCTGCTGTCCCCAGAATCTACCAACGCCTGGGCCGTCACCGAGCCCTCCGCCCAAGAGAGGACAACGGTGATCAGTGGTTTATCTTTGCGGAACGCCGGGGACGAGGAGACTCCACCCAAGATCTGTCCCCAACAGGATCTCAGGTGCGAGCGTTTCCCGGACAGACAGGACAGGACTGCCGAAAGTGCCCACCAAGGCCACAGTA